AAGCAGGGGGCAGGGCTTCGTCATGTGCCCCACCCCCGTACCTCACCCGGGGGAACTGCGATCCCCCGCGATCCCCCCCGAAATGACCTCTGACCCTATGTCACCTGTTGATCTCTGCAAACTGTGAAGCTGTCAAAAGCCCAGAGCCTTTCACTGTAGCAAAGGCAGCAGGCAGAACATTGGACGGGTGACCCTTTAGGAGGCATGACATTGCAAAGAACACGGAGCTGCTGCTGAAAATGGCATCCTTGCGCACGCAGAGCTGCTGCTGCAAATGGCAGCCTTGTGGCCGCTTCCCAGGTCCGTAGTCAGGATTTTTTAAGTCAGGGGGCATTTAGAATTCTTAGGGGGCACTGGCTAATCAAAGGCAGGGGAGAAGGCCGTGACACCCGGGGCTGGATGGGAAGTCAGGGGGCCTTGCCAGAAAGTCGGGGGGCCTAGCCCCGAGACGCACCACTGTAGCTATGGGCCTGCCGCTTCCCCTCTCTCTTTCCATAACATCTAACATATCGCATCCTGATGGTTTTAATGATGGACGTTCTCCACTCTCTTAACCAATGGAATAGAAACAGGCGAAGAAAACACTTTTCATGGGGTAAGTTGACAGCGGGCGGCCTCTTCTGCCATGGGCTGAATGCCACAGAGGAAGAGATGAAGGAGAGGAGGGCAGAACTATTTTTGCCCTCTCCTGCCCGGATGTCTAACTTTACGCTTTGCAGGACGCGCAGCCTTGCTTGCAGTACAGCTCCAGAATGAGGTTTAATTGTTTAACTTGCTCAATCGGGCAACTGCCCAGGGTCGGAGCGCAGCTGGGGCCCCGGAGCACAGCTTTGGGGTCATGGTGAACTTTAAGGTTTTTGGGGAAAATAAGTCGGAATGTTCTCTCACCAGGGAAAGTCTGTTTACGAGCCACTTGGCAAAGCAGATCCAACTAAGGCCACCCTCCCGCCGAAGTTGCAAGAAGGCAAATATGAAGGAAGAAGGAAGGAGAGCAGGTGTTAAGCTGAGCGCACGTGATGGAGAAGGAGCCCAGGAGGTCAGCCGAGACGGTACCCACGGAGGAAATCAGCACGCCCCACTTTCTTGAGAATATCCCTCAAGTTAACCAGGCCCGTTCTGGAAAGGGAAGGATGGAGACAGCACCCGTCTCCGTGACATGTCTAAAGCCTATCTTAGCTAGAAGGGGTTACATGGTTGCCAGCCTCCAGGTGAGTCCTGGAGACCTGCTGCTTTTACAACTGATCTCCAGCTGATCGAGACCAGCTCCCCTGGAGAAAAGGGCTGCTTTGAAGGACGGACTCTGTGGCATTGTACTCTGCTGAGGCCCCTGTCCTCCTCATAACCCGCCCTCTCCTGGATCCACCCCCCCCAAAAAAGTCTCCAGGTATTTTTCCAACCCAGACCTGGTTAATCCTAAACTGTTATGATATCCTGAGGCAGTGAGTTTCGCCTGTTAAAGTTTTGTGCAAGGAAATACTTTTGGCCAGGGGTTTTTTTTGTAGAAAAAGCCCAGCAGGAACTCATTAGCATTATAGGCCACACCCAACAGCAGAAATTCATTTGCTTATTAGGACACACCCCTGACAGCACAGCTCATTAGCACATTAGGCCGCACCCCCATGTTACCAGAAGTGTGGTCATCCAGCCACACCCACCTTTTGCTTCTTATTCTGTTTACCTTGTTTGTTGTCAAAACCCAGGGCTTTTTTTGTAGCAGGAACTCCTTTGCATGTTAGGCCACACACCCCTAATGTAGCCAATCCTAATGAGTTCCTGCTGTTGGGTGTGGCCTATTATGCTAATGAGTTCCTGCTGGGTGTGTCCAGCTCGAGAGCCAGCCGGAACTCCGTTCCTGCCCCAAAATAGCCCTGCTTTTGGCTATTGTGCGAATAAGATTGTTACAAGGTTTTATTGAGGATCGCTGGCCTCCTAGGGAAGCCAGCCACCAGGTGGGACCTGGGGATCCCCTGGAATTACAGGTCGTTCCCAGACTACAGAGATCAGTCCCCCTGGAGAAAATGGATGCTTTGGAGGGTGGACTCTGTGGCATTGTGCCCCACTGATGTCCCTGTCCTCCCCAGGCTCCACCCCCAGAGCTCCAGGAATATCCCAGCATAGAACCCTACAACCTCCAGGTGGGGCCTGATGATCTTCCAGAATTACAACCGATCTCCGGACTACGAAGATCCATTTCTCTGGAGAAAATGGCTGCTCCAGAGGGTGGACTCTATGGCATTGTATCCCGCTGAGGTCCCTGCCCTCCCCACTCTCCACCCCCAAATCTCCAGGAATTTTCCAACCCAAATTTGGCAGCCCTATCTTAATGGTACACAGGGCTTTCTTTTGTAGAAAAAGCCCAGCAGGAACTCATTAGCATAATAAGCCACACCCAACAGCAGAAACTCATTAGCGTATTAGGCCACACCCCTGACAGCACAGCTTATTAGGCCACATCCCCATGCCTTCCCTTGGCTTGCCGGGTACCCCGCAGCTGCAGGGAGCCTGGACAAGCTGGCCCTTGGACAGGCTGGGGAAGGCAGGGGGAGGCATTTAAATGCCTCCCTGATCCTTCCAGGGACCCCCCTGGCCCACCCGCCTCAGAGTTGCCGGGGGGGGGTGTTCTCCAGGCCTTCCCTCTGTAGCCACGCATGCAGAGGTTTTAGCTGTAGTGGGCGTGGCCAACTCTGAAGCCAGCCAGAACTCCGTTCCTGTGCGTTCCTGCCCAAAAATAGCCCTGGTGGTACACATCCAGGGCTTTTTTTGTAGAAAAAGCCCAGCAGGAACTCATTAGCATATTAGGCCACACCCCGACAGCACAACTCATTCGCATATTAGGCCACACCCCCATGTTACCAGAAGTGTGGTCATCCAGCCACACCTACCTTTTGCTTCTTATTCTCTTTACTTTGTTTGTTGTCAAAACCCAGGGCTTTTTGCATGTTCTGCCACACACCCCTAATTGTAGCCAATCCCAATGAGTTTCTGCTGTTGGGTGTGGCCTATTATGCTAATGAGTTCTTGCTGGGCGTGGCCAACTTGGGAGCCAGCCGGAACTCCGTTCCTGTGCGTTCCTGCCCAAAAATAACCCTGTACACATCCTTATCAAGAAACAAATGCAATCTGCTCCTTTCTTGTGTGGGATGCAATCCAGAAATCCACCTTCCACAAAGTGGTTTTCCTGTTTTCCTGACTATCTCATTCTCCTCGCCCTCAAACGACAATATATTGGTGGCTGAGGAAGAAGAGAGGATTCCATCAGCCTCCATACGGTTTCCAGCTCTGATTGGTGAAATTCTTAGAGATTGGGGGGAGGGGGAGCCGGGGAAAGGTGGGGTTTGGGGAGGGGAGAGACCTCAATGGGGTATCACGCCATAAAGCCCACCTTCCAAAACAGCCATTTCCTCCCGGAGAACATCTCTGTCATCTGGAGATCAGTTGTAATTCTGGGAGATCTCCAGCCACCACCCAGCAGGGATGGAGTGTGGTTGCAGAAGGCTGTGCGCCATGGTTGAGTGACTGGCAAGTCCAAGGCGTCCCTTTTGCCGCATCTGAACCGAGACTGGCAAGCCTCGCCCACCATTTGGAAGGGGTCATGCTATTGGATGGTGTCGGTGATATCGCCGATGGTTACCAACGCGACTCTCCCACCCCTTGTGTCAACACCTTCTTCGTTACCATTCAGAAACGTTTCCATGTCATGTCTGCTACTTGCATAAAGCCTGCCTCGCGCTTCCCAAAGGAGCCATGCAAACAATGCTCCCTCTAAGCTCTAAGACCTGTGAGCAGAAATTCAACTTTGTGAGCTACTGGCATTAGAGTTGTGAGCGAGCGATTTGGCTGCTGCATCAGCTAGTTGACTCTGGAGCCCTCCTTCCTGAGCTGAGACCAAAATGTGTGAGCCGGAGGCTAGAAAGTGGTGAGCCAGCTCACACTGACTCAGCTTAGAGGGAACACTGCATGCAAATACTTGCGCAGGCCCTAGAGAAATCCACACAGGCAATTTTCCTCCTTCCTTTCAGCCATGAGCCACAACTGGGGGCTGGCAGGGCATTTCTTAATTTTGTCTCAGTGTGAATTTCCTTTGAAAAATGGAGGTGTATCTTGTCATAAGAACAGAAGAGAAGCCAATGTTGGATCAGGCCAGTGGCCCCTCCAGTCCAACACTCTGTGCCACACAGTGGCCAAAAATACCAGGTGCCATCAGGAGGTCCAGCAGTGGGTCCAGGACACTAGATGCCCTCCCACTGTTGCCCCCAACCCCAAGCACCAAGAATACAGAACAACACTTGCCCCAGACATAAGAACATCAGAGAAGCCAGTGTTGGATCAGACCAATGGCCCATCCAGTCCAACACTCTGTCATCAGGAGGTCCAGCAGTGGGGCCAGAAGCCCTCAACAGGTCCTCTCCCTCCTGGACTTCTAGAAACTTGTAAAAACTATTCTATGCCAAAGAGCATTTGATGTTTTACCCCTCTGACAATATTCACACCTGCGAATTTTATTGTTGATTGATGACTGATAGAGATTGTAGTTTATCAATCAAAAAAATCCTTGTGGCTGCATTTTGCTGCCCTGGTGGATATTTCTTATTATCCCACTTTCTGGCTGATGTTTTGCGTTTATTATTATTTTTCCAGCTTATAAGCAACTCTAATATTTAATCTTATTTACATTTGTATAGCACTTCTCAGCGGGGGGCAAGCGGTACCAGTTAGAACGACAAACAATAAAACAATAAAAATCAGAAAATACAAAAGTTACAAAATTAAAACAAGCATGGGACCAAATGACCAAAAGGTGGAATACTGCTCTTTTGAATCATTAATGGTAGAGTTTTTATTCTTTTGTGGAGGGGGAAGAGGTGAAAGAGGA